ATCAAGAGAAACCATTATGAAAACGGCGATATTGGGGCGGGAAGGCGGGGGGAGGGGAGGAGGGAAGGGGAGGAGGCGAAGGGAGAAAAGGAGAGGAAGTACAGGCGTAGGACATCGCGCTGAAAACCGTCGGCAAATCTGACGGAGGCGGGAATTAATGAAATTCCGAAGAAGTAATAATGCCCTCGTACGCGCGTTCTTCGGGAGCCGGACAAAAATGGGTCAAGCGCGAGAAAATCCGAGCGGATGCGCGCACACCGCGACCGTATCCGGGCGATGGTTATGACAATTTTCAGGCGGCGGCGGCAGCGGCGGCGTCGTCGGTGCTTTACGGCCGATACCACGTCACATCGACGTCCGGGGCCGATTTTATTTCGCTGAAATATTACGACTTCCCCGAGGTAGGTGGGCGAATAGAGCGTTGCAATAGAGCGAGCTTTACGAGGTGTAACTCAATACAACATCGACTTTCATCCGTGAATTTCGAATAAAACACACGTCGCTTCGAATTTCATTGTCCGTTTCGGTAAATGGATTTTTGTCAGGAAATAGCAGAGTCTCTCTTTCTCTCTCTCTCTCTCTTTTCTTCTCTCCCTCCTGACTCGACAAGATTAACGCGAACGATATGGGCGATGCGTCAATCGCGGACTCCGTCATTTTGGCTATAACGTCGTCCTCCTTCTCGGCGCGATCGTGTATTATAGCGTCGCTATTCTCGGAGAAAACCGAATCGGCGGAATCTCCTCTCATACGCCGTTTCTATGACGACAAAATGGAAAGATATGTTCGATCGTCCAATGCGACGTAGGGAGAATCCTTAATCTTTCTAGTTCGTAAAGCGGTGGTGGACGCTTATCCCTCTGAAAGACTCTTCTGCGTCTCCGCGTCTCTCTATGATATATAAACGTTTCGGTAAACAGAAAGTTCCGCGATATTATCGTTTCTTATAAATCGAATGGCATTTTGCTATATCTCCCGCAGCATTTAAAACTGGAAGCTATATATATATATAGAGAGAGAGAGAGAGAGAGACATACATATTAGAAATTATAAATAGCAGCACTAAATTACAGAACTTCCTACAATTAGCTTGAATTTCATATACATGTTATCACGCCTCGTGCTATCGGTCGAATTTTACGCCAGGAGAGGAGCCACCCGGCGGAAAATTAATTCCCTCCCGCCCATTACCGAGAGAGATCACGGTCGATCGCTCCGAGGAGTGTGCAAGAATTCGTTAATTAAGATTTAAATCATGTCTTAAAGTAGCACAGAGGGGGGGGGAGGGGAAGGGATGTCTCTCAATCAACCTGAGCATCAATATATAGCCATGAATGGAGCTGTTCGCGTTTCCGGCACACAACGGCGCACGCTCCGAGGATTTCGTCTTACACGGATACGCCCCTATTTTTAAACCCCACCGATTTCATTTCGAGGAAATTTCGATTTAGAACGCTTTTAATATATAGAGTGCTCGATAATGAGATGCCGCGAAGCTACGTCATTTGCAATATATTAAACCGAAAAGCTCCGACGTTATCTGCATGATAATACGTGATCGTATGCGTTGCAAATTATTTCGTGACCTGTGTACGAGTGTTACACTTTTGTTCCCCCTTACACACCACTCTCCGGAATTCCCCTTCGTTCGTTCCGTTTAACTGTTACCTAGAAAGTAACCCAATAAAGAGCGCATCGCAGTTACAAACGCATACTTTCCCAAATGTTGAAACTTGTAATATGCAATGAGAGATGGTGTATCGCAATTCATGTACTTATATAAATACAGCCGGAATCGTTATCCGCGACTCACGTTATTCGACTACACCGAGACTAAGTCCCCTCATCTACTTCCTCTGCATCAAATGCATACACAGAGACGGTAATGCGTAAAGTTATCTCGGTGTGTTTAAATCATGGATTATATACGCGCCGTTAGAGCGAGTGGGAAAATTGTCGGAAGTCTCGATGAAAATGCCGGTTCATTAGTAACGAGAAATGTTTAGAAAACGAGTACAACGGTTGCAAATTGATGAAATAACACCGAGAAGGGTCGTAAAAACTTAACTTTATCGCGATTTCTGACGAAGTGCCGCGGAAAAAATAATATCGCGAATAAGCGTAACCATCGCTTGGCGTGCTTGCAAAGAAAGCGCAAACGCCGCGCATCGTATATAATTATATGCATATTCGCTCGTTCGCAATTTGACGGCGCACGCAAAGGTTTCCGCTCCGGCTCGGTCACGCGATTGGAAACCGACTCGCGGAATATCCTAACATCAAAGAACATCCCGTGCGTTCCCTAAATTGCCGCCAACGTTCGTCCGGCAATTCGAACGAAAATTTCGCACCACACCTGAAGCTCTCCCGAGCCTCGAATCTCGCACAGCTCTCCCGCGGCGAGCGGCGGTACAGGGAAGACTTTGTCAAAAATGCGCGGAGGAAGAGAGAGAGAGAGAGAGAGAGAGAGAGAGAGAGAGAGAGAGAGAGAGA